GGTGAGGAGCCAGGGAGCTGCTGGGAACGTATGTGGGACCTGAGACCCACTCTGCGTGAGGGGGAGCCAGTTCTGGCATCCCATGGCCCTGCCAGCTGAGCTGGTCCCTGGGAAGAACATCTTAGGTCAGGAGGGTGGGGGTGACACCCGTGGAGTACTGGCTCTGGACTGGGCACCTGATTCTGTGTCAACAGTCTGGGTCTGCCGCTGTCTCCTCCCTGATGTGTGACCCTGGACAAGTTATTCAACCTCTCTTGAGTCTCAGAGAAGGCAGGGAAGTCACTGCCCATCTTAATGGATTGTTATAAGGATTAGAAATAAAGCGTATCAAGAGGCTGGCACATAGTAGGTACTCAACAATGGTTGTAGTTAATACGAAGGGTGAGTGAAGAGAGGGATAACATAACAGCCCGAGGCTGCTGATCCTCCTCTGTCTGTGCTGCAGGATCCCTGAGGAGGGAGGGCACCATCCTGAGGGCAGAACCATCATGGGGCATCAGGGAGAAAGAGCCCCTGGACTGGACCCTAGGGGTCGACTAAAAGGAGAGGAAGGAGTCCTGGAAACAGAGGACAGGTGGGATTTGGGACCCACCTCTTATAGGATTCTGGCTCTTGGTTGTATCACCATGATAATCAACATTTATTGAGCACTGACTGTGTGCAGGTGATTATGTTTGGGTCTAGGGTACAGAATTCAGTGTTTCTGCTATTTAATGAATGTTCCAGAAGGTCCTTGGCATTTATTCATTCATTCAATAAATAAGTACCATGCACTTGCTGTGCACCAGGCACAGCTCTGGATGTTGAAAATACCACAGAGACTCAGACAAAAGTCGCTAGCCTTGCAGAGTAGACATTCCAGTGGGAAAGGAAGACACTGAGTGTGATGAGTACTGTGCAGTTGAGAGCCCGTCGTGTGGTGACATGTGCTGCGGAGAAAGATAAAGTGAGGAAAGGGAGAAGAGGGAGGGCCAGGGTTGCAAGTTGAAATGAGGGGAGGTCAGGACATTTGAGCAGAAATCTCAGTGTAGGGGTGGTGTGGAGAACCATTCCTAGCAGGTGCAAAGGCCCTGGGGTTAGAATGGCAAGGAAGTCAGTGTAGCTGGCGGAGAGTGAGAATGGCAGGAGGTGAGAACAGAGGAGTGAGGGGTGGGACAGCAGGTCATGCAGGGCCTCCTGGCAAGGAACTGGACTTTTACTTGGTAGAAATGGGGAACCCTGGTAGGAATCTGAATAGCACACTGGCAGGGTTGAACTTAGCTTTGACCAGTTTCCCTCTGGCTGCTGCATAGGGAGGAGACTGGGCAGGGGCCGTAGGGGTAGCACAGGTGGGCCTACCCTCTCTGGGCTTGTGCTTTTAATTCCTCTGTCCTGTCTCTAAGTCGGGGGTCAACAGAACACCTTTCACCCTGGGGCTCCTTTCTCCCTAAAGGCAAGGTCAAGGCCAGCACTGAAACTTCAGCTTTCCATAGTAGTCTGTGTTTTTCAAAAAGAGCTTATTACCCTTTTATCATTTGATCTTCAAAACTCAGCTATTGTTTCCCCATCGGATGAGTTAGAAAACTGAGACCCCCATGATGAGACTCAGCTGTGTCTCCCTAGTGAGTGGTAGAGCTGGAGCCGGCTCTGCCTGGCACCTTCCCCAGCGCTACAGAAGAGGGGGCCCACCCTGATCTGGGATTCCCACCCCCATGACAGTGACAGAGGTGACGAATCAATAGTGAGATCTGACAGGCTCTTTCAGTCATGTCTCAGCCCCTGGGCTCTCATCTGCAGTGGAGGGGTAATAAGAGCCCCACTCACAGGGCTGTGATGAAGATGAGATGAATTAAGACATGTGAACAGTCCTTGGCACCGAGTATGTGCTCCCTAAATACCAGCTATTGTTATTAATGATTAAGGGCTTGCAGGGCTGCGGTAGCAGTACCACCACAAGTGAGGGGAGTTGGATGGCGCTATGCCCATGTGATGGGCTGGGGAAAGCTAGGGGCCTGTCAGGTTCATCCACCAGGAGCCGCAGGTTGCGGCCACACCTGCTTCCTAACTATGAGATGCGGTGCTGTGAGTGGAAGCAGCTATTGACCACCATTCAGGAAAGACCTGGCATTTGTCAGCATTGAACCTCCCACCTGCCCCCTGGGTGGGGGTGTGAGGCCGATTTGGAGGAGGTAGGGGCAGGGCGGGCTGGTGGGTCTGGCCATGTGGTGATGAGGGGCCCACATGCCCCCTCCCATCTCCCCTCCCTAACACTGCCTGCCTAGCTTCCTGAGCCACCTTTGTGGGGGTCTCTCCCTGGGTTACAGTGGGCTGGACCCTCACTGTCTCATCTCATCCTTAAATCAGGTTGCCTCATCTCCGTTTCACAGCAAGGCCATGTGAATTGCCCAGCGTCACACAGCAATTTGGCAGCTGAGCAGGGATCCAAGGCTAGAGCTATTTCTACTACACATGCTACTTTCAGCTGGAAGCCAGGGAGTACCTGCCTGCACCCAGCAGGGGGACTGCAGTAAGTCCCATCCTCCCTGGATCTGGACAAGGTGGAGCGTGGTCTCTGCCATCATTCATTCCCTTCTAGCCTGACTTGCCAGGTCTGTGCTCCTCTGTCCCCTCCCTCCCTGCTTCATAGGCACCCTCGCACCTGGTTCCCAGCTCCCTCAGCTCTCCTCCAACAGCTGGAGAAGCTTTAAAAATATGCAATATATGCACACTAGGCAACATCTAAAAGGCATAACAGGACCCATGGTGAAAAATCCCTCCCCCCACCCCAGCCACCCAGTTCCCCAAAGGCAGCCACCCTTACTCAGCTTTCCAAAAATATTCTCTGCTCGTGTATTTCCCCCCATGAAAAATGGAATCATCCAGCCACGCTGTGCTGAACATGGCTGGTTTTGCTTTAGTGACATGGCTTGGAGGGTTCCTTCCATTCAAGACCAGAGCATTCTGTGGCTGGCCTGCACCGTAATTTACTTAACCAGTCCCAGTGGATGAGCATTTGGGTTGTTTCCAGTCCTTGGCTTTTACAAGCAGTGCTACGATAAATAAAACTGGGCGTCATTGGTTCGCCCAACTGGCTGGAAGGTAATTTCCTAGGAATGGTGCTGCTGAGTGAAGGATGTGTGCCTCTAAGGATGGGAGAGAATGCCCAGTTGCCCTCTGTCAAGGTTCCCCACCGCCAGGGGTGGGCTTGACCTTTGATCAGATCCCATAATGGAATGTCCCTACCCCTCACTGGTCCCTGCCCCACTGACAGTCCGCTTACAGCTAGCTGTCTATGCTGGGATCCCAAACAGCAGAGTTCTGTGACTCCAACAGTTGTAGACTGGCCTCTGGCTGCAGGGTCACATCCTACCCTGGCTGAAAATCCTTTATTAAATGTCCCTGCCTTTTACTTCTCCAAATCTAAATTCAAACTATTCTCTACAAAGCAAATACTGCTTTACAAGTGAGAAGTGCCAAATTAAGAAGAAAAAAATTCAGACTCTTTTCTTTGGCCCTTGATGAATTCAGCTGTCTTCCCACCCACCCACCGCCACCGTGCATGAGTGTGGGAAAGTGTGTCTGAGGTTTTGTTAAGGCGAGAAGAACAAAATATATTTAGTGCCTGAGAGGCACCAGGGGGCAATACTAGGTTATTACTGGGAAAAGAGCACTAGCCTCTGGACAGATGGGCAGACTGAGGCCAGAGAAGGGGAGGAACACCCTTGACTAAGGAGCCTCACGTGTTTGTGCCGTCTGACCTGAGCCTGAGAGCCAGCTGTTGGTAAGAGATGGAGGTCTCCTGGACCCCCTGGTTGTGCTGAATCTCGCAGAGGCCAGCCCTCCCCAAGTGTCCTCATCGGACAGGGCTCATAGTGTCTGAGGCTGCTATGCAGAAGCAGGGAAGTGCCACCTGCCCAAAGCTCATGTCTCCTAGTGGGGTCAGGCCCCGCCTGGACTCACTGCCCCTTTGAAGACCAGGCCCCTGCCTCTCTGGTCCTGTCTGCTTGCTACTGAGCCCTTCTTGCTGGGGTGGCAGTGAGAACTGGGTGGGGGATGGGAGTAGGGCACTGCCTGCCCCAGCCCTGGGGCAGCACACGGCCTAGATTGGACAGCCGTGATGCCTGCCGACAGATCCAGGGCACACACAGCCACACTGGCGCTCGCACAGATTGCAAGGGTCTGACCTGTGGGCTGGGAAGCCACATGGCTGGGACTCTTAGGAGACACGTAAGCGGCTAATGGAGGCTTTGAGGCTGGGCACCGAGGCAGAGGGAAGGGCATTTAAAGGAGTCCAGCAGCTCAGAGACCTGAGGAGGCGCTGAGTCTGGGCAGAAGGTGGGAGGGGGCCTGCTGCCAGTTTCCCGAGGGTCTCGGATCCAGGCTCCTGGTGGGAGCTTCAGGGAGGTTCTAGGGGCTAAGATCAGTGACTCTGTGTTGATTGGGGGTGGGGGTAGGGAAGCTGAGATGGGTCTCTTGGACTCAGGGCAAAGATCTGACTGGGTCAGGGTGGGCAGTGCCAAGGGGGGCAGATTGAGAAGCCAGCTGGGGTTCACTGAGCCCCAGGGGGCCCTACAGGGTGCTAGGTCCTGGGGAGGAGGTGCAGGACATGCAGAAAGATAAGCTGGATAGCTGGCTTTGAAGAGCTGTGTGTGTCTATGAAGCAAACTGCAGATTTACATAAAGCAAATATGTAATTGTGTGGCCCTAGCTTTTAGCTCTGAGTCCAGAAACACAAAAACAGATGCAGACCATTCTGGTGGTGGGGGCCAGCTTCTGAGAAGAGGTGCCCACATTTGAGCTCGAAGATGGATCTTGGGGAGAGGGGAAGGAGAGGATGTGGAGTGAAGGGCTAATGGAGGAGAGCCAGGGAGGTGGGCATGAGGGTGACTCTAGGGATGGTGAGCCAGGCTCTGGACAGGAAGCCCACATTCCAAAGCAAGGCTCATGCCTATGGAGCCTCCACTGCAAGTTGGGGTCCTAGGCCTGGAGTGGGGCACGTGGGATACTCCCCTCATTTACAGGATCTCTCCTCTGCCTCCCAGCGCATGAACAGCCCAGCCTGCTGACTGCCGCTCCACACCTGTCCATCCCCCCACGGCCACACCATGTCCGGCTCCTACGACGAGGCCTCGCTAGCTCCAGAGGAGACCACTGACAGCTTCTGGGAGGTAAGGCGTGGATGCTGAGGACCAGATAGCCTGGCTGCTTGGAAGCCCAGGCTCCCACCCACCCATGATCTTAGGCCTTGCTTCCCAGCCCCTTGGGTCCCTCCAAAGCCCTCTATGTCCAATAGGCAGTTGTTGCTGTGAAGTGGCTACTATAGGCCCTGAGCCTGGAGCCCTTCTGCCCCACAGCTGCCCCTAAATTCTGTGCATTTATGATATGTAACAGGGCCCTCCTGGCCCTCTGCTCTGGGGGCCCAGGCTCCGACTCCTCGCCCTTCACATGGGCAGGTGCAGCACTTTACAACTTACACAGGCTTTCACAGCTGCGCCCTACCCCAACACTGTGAAGTGGGCAGTGGGTGGAGCACCAGCCACAGAGAAGTGTGAGTTCAGGGAGCCCCACAGCAACAAACAGGTGGAGACATGCCAGCATTGCATGAGCCTCCCCAAATAGTTGAGACCCAGAAAGAAATTTTCCATTGGCTTCCGAAACTCAAAGCGAAAACTGCCAAACCTAAATTAATAAGTGTTTAATGAGGTGTCTACAAAACATAATATTGTGTCAAGAAGCTGCAGCTCAACTCAACGCTTATATGACTCTATATAAATCTAATAGATTTAGCTCACAAGAACAAAATGAATAATTCATTCACGTCCAAGTCCAAATTCTAAAAATCCTCCTGCACTTTGTGGCAGCGAGGAAATTATGTTTAAAGTGGAATGAGGGGGCGTATAGAAGGTGGAGTGTGAGGCGGGGTGTCGAAGCCTCCGAAGGTGAGATGGATCCAGAGCCCCCAGGGTGTTGCCATGGGGTGACCGGGGTGGCAGCGGAGGGCGCCCCCTGCAGGACGCGGCGGCCAGGCGGCCGGGCGGCCGGCGGGGGAGGCGGGGAGCCCGCGGGAGTCGTGCTCGCTGCTTGGCCGCCAGGTGGGGAACTACAAGCGGACGGTGAAGCGCATCGATGACGGGCACCGCCTGTGCAACGACCTGATGAACTGCGTGCAGGAGCGCGCCAAGATCGAGAAGGCGTACTCGCAGCAGCTCACCGACTGGGCCAAGCGCTGGCGCCAGCTCATCGAGAAAGGTGCCCCCCAGGCCCACCCCGGGCCACACCCCAGGCCCTGACCCGTCCCCCACCGTCTGGGTCCCCGGAGTGCTGGCCGCCTGGATGCACCTGCACCTTCCGGTCACAGGGCCTTTGCAGCTGGCCCCTCACCTGCACTCTTCCCTCCCAAACCCAGCAGGACTCCTGTGCCCGTTCAGCTCTACTTCGTGCAATTTTAGGTTGGATTTAAGGGAAAAAAACCCTTTTATTTTGAAATAATCTAAGCTTAGAGAAAAGTTGCTAGATTAGTGCCGAGAACTACATACATTTCACCCAGATTCACCAGCTCCTATTTTACTACCTTTGTTTTCTCACTCCCTCTATGTTTACTTACATATCTTTTCTGAACCATTTAAGTTGGAGACATGCCCCTTCACCCTAAATTCTTCATGTATCTCTAAAGAATAAGAACAATTTGTGTAACCATAGTTCAACTATCAAATTCGGGGCATTTGAAATGGCCCACACACAAATTTTATTACAGCAAATGTTTGCGCTGTTCGAGGATTCTGTGGAATGTCTGGTCCCAATGGCTTCCTGTCATCTGTAACCAGCTGGTTCTCTAGTTTAACATTCAGCCAACATTCCTGGAGCACCAACTCTGTGCCTGGTGCTGGGCTGGCTTGTGAGAGCTCATGGGGTCCAGGCTGCACCCCATGGGGCTCACAGCTGATGGGGGAGACAGAAAGTAGGCCCAGAAACAGATGCTCTAGGAAGAATTCACAAGGGCTGCAGGCCGAGGTATTCAGAGATGGCTTCCTGGAGGAGGTGGCTGTACTTGGGTCCTGGAGGATGATAAAACTATAGAGAGAACAAAGGAGGGCATTACTGCTGCCACGGGAAGTATGGAGAAAGCCTCAAAGAAAGGAGGCCTAAGAGGGGGTGCTCTGGGCAGGAGGTGATGAGGGCCTGGTGACCTCACGGCCATTTCCTCAGGCCCACAGTATGGCAGCCTGGAGCGGGCCTGGGGTGCCATAATGACGGAGGCGGACAAGGTGAGCGAACTGCATCAGGAGGTGAAGAACAACCTGTTGAACGAGGACCTGGAGAAGGTCAAGAACTGGCAGAAGGATGCCTATCACAAGCAGATCATGGGCGGCTTCAAGGAGACCAAGGAGGCTGAAGACGGCTTCCGCAAGGCCCAGAAGCCCTGGGCCAAGAAGATGAAGGAGGTGCCTGGTGGGCGGCTGCCCCAGAGGGATGAGGCTGGGCGGCTGGGCTCAGAGGGGCAGTCTGATCAGAGGGAGGGTGTCTACAGACGGGGTGGACAGCGCACTGCCTGCTGGGATTGTGCCCACAGGGGTGCAACACTGCCTGCCAGGAAGACATACCCACAGACAGGGCAGGCACTGTGATGCCCTACAGGAGGGTGTCTGTAGGGACAACAGGTAGTGCAGGGAAACAGCCAGACAGGTGGGCACTGCTCCCTATACCTGGAGCCAGGGCTACATCCCTCCTGTCTCTGAGAATGTGTGCTCACAGCTCCCAGTAGGATGGGCAGGCGGGAGGGGCTGAGAGCGACCACATTTGCTCCTGCTTGCAAGTAGGAGCCCTGCCCCCACTCCCTCTCCCCACAGCTAGAGGCAGCCAAGAAGGCCTACCATCTGGCCTGCAAAGAGGAGAAGCTGGCTATGACCCGGGAGATGAATAGCAAGACGGAGCAGTCGGTCACACCTGAGCAGCAAAAGAAGCTGCAGGACAAAGTGGACAAGTGCAAGCAGGATGTTCAGAAGGTGCCGCCCGGGCTGGGGTCTGAGGGCCCCTTGGAGCGGGTGGTGGCTGGGAGCTGCAGGCCTGGGTCTCACCCTCCCTTTGCCCCGGTGCCTATAGACACAGGAGAAGTATGAGAAGGTGCTGGAAGATGTGGGCAAGACCACTCCCCAGTACATGGAGGGCATGGAGCAGGTGTTTGAGCAGTGCCAGCAATTTGAGGAAAAACGGCTGGTCTTTCTCAAGGAGGTGCTGCTGGACATCAAACGTCACCTCAACCTCGCTGAGAATAGCAGGTAGCCGGGCGTGCAGCATGTGGGCACAGGCAGAGGAGGCAAAGGGTAGTGCTGGTGTGCAGGGCCTTCAGGGTCCTATTAGAGTGATGGGAAGAGGAGGGCAGAGCTGCAGGGGCCGAGAGGGACGAGGCTCCAAACAGAGTGGCTGCCCAGGTGTGAGCACACCAGATACTCAGGAAACATGCTTGGATGGATGGGTGAGTGGCTAAGGTGAGGATGGAGAAGGGTGCCCCCTGGACAGGCCTGGAGCCACCCACTGAGATTGATCCTTTTGGAAGCTGCCTGATTCCCAGCAAGGGACAGGCCAGCAACCTGGTTCCCAAAATGGGCTCCAGCCCTCACCAAAGCTGAGAAGGGGCTATGATGCATCTTGCCCTGCACTGCCTCGTCTCCCCTGTGCACAGCTATGTCCACGTGTACCGGGAGCTGGAGCAGGCCATCCGCGGGGCCGACGCCCAGGATGACCTCAGATGGTTCCGCAGCACCAGCGGCCCTGGCATGCCCATGAATTGGCCCCAGTTTGAGGTGAGGAGGTGTGGGGATGGGGAAGTGAAGTCTGAAAGTCTGGAAGGGGCCTCAAGGGGGCAGCCCCCAAGCCTGACCGCTCCCCTGGTACCCACCAGGAGTGGAACCCAGACCTCCCTCACACCACCACCAAGAAGGAGAAACAGCCCAAGAAGGCAGAGGGGGTAGCGCTGACCAATGCCACGGGGGTGGTGGAGTCCACATCCCAGGCTGGGGACCGTGGCAGGTGAGTGCCTCCTATGGAGCTTCTGGGGGCCGGAGGGGTCCACACCTGGGGACAGCTGAGTTTTGTCTCAGGAGACAAGAAATGGTCAAAGTCACAGCAACCTCATGCTCCTCTCAAAGACAGTGGTAGCTGTCCTGTGAGAGCACCTACTGTGTGCCGGGCACTCTTCTAAGCATTTTCCGTATGTTAACTCATTGAAGTATCCCAACACTGAGAAGTATGTAAATACTCCTATTTTACAGATGGAGAATCTGAAACCCAGAGAGGTTAAGTGACTTTCCCAAGGTCACATAGCTAGTTAGTAAGCCTTAGAGCCAAGATATGATGCCCCAGAGGTCTGGCTCCAGAACCCTCATTCATTTGATATATATATTTGCCTTGTTCTCATTTCCTTTTTTTTCTTCCAGTTTTATTGAGATATAATTGACATACAGCACTGTATAAGTTTAAGGTGTACAGCAGAACGATTTGACTTCTATACATCAGAAATGATTACCACAATAAGTTTAGTGAGCATCCTTCCTCTCAGAGATTCAAAGTTAAAGAATTAGAAACTGATTTTTTTTCTTGGTGGTGACAGAACTCAAGATTTATTGTCTTGACTTTCATAGATAACACACAGCAGTGTTAGTTCTATTTATCATGCTGCACAGAACTTCCCTAGTACTAGAACCCTCACGCTGAATCACTGAGTGGTATTGCTCCTCTCAGATGGGGTCTCCTTCAGCACCTCCTCACTCAAGAGCTGAGTAATGCTAATAGTCCTGCCTCACATCTGTTTGAAGAGCTGTCAGTGAGAGTCACTGGCTCTGGACCCCTTCTTACAGGGCCCATTTCTGCTCCAACCTTGGTGGAATTTGGGGTCAGGGCTCTGGGTGGGAGGAGTGGGCAGCCCTAAGGATAAGGTGGGTGGCCATTCATGCTGGGTCCTCTCTCTGTGTCTCAGTGTTAGCAGCTATGACAGGGGCCAGCCTTATGCCACCGAGTGGTCAGATGATGAGAGTGGGAATCCATTTGGGGGTAATGAGGCCAACGGGGGCTCCAACCCCTTTGATGATGATGCCAAGGGTGTGCGTGTTCGGGCACTCTATGACTATGACGGCCAGGAACAGGATGAGCTCAGCTTCAAGGCTGGTAAGAGGGGTCGGGCTAGTAGATGGGGTGGGGCCTGGCACATGGGCCTGGCCAAGACCTGGAGGGTGACCTGTGCCCTGGGGCCAAGACTTGAATTAGAGGGCAAGGGCAGCGTCTGAGAGTGGCAACTGGGTGCCAGGGGCAGAGTTGGACCTGAGAATAGGATGGAGTAGGACCAGAAGATGAATTGGGGGCAGGGCCTGAGGGAAGAGGGTGCCAGGAGGAAGGACAGGACCAGGAAAACGAAGCTGGAGCTAAGACCTGGGTCTCAGGGGCAGGGCTGAGACCCAGATTAGGTGGGCAGCTGGGCCACACATGGGTGTCAGGGTATGGCTGGGGCTGGTCTCAAGGGGTGGGCTTTCTGGCGGGAATGGGAGGAGCATTGGGGTCAGTCCAGCATAATAGTATAGGAGGGCTTACCCTGCAGGTGGGGTTGGGGGTCAGCCCTCTCTGAGCCCCCATTAACCAGCTTGTCTGTGTCCCCTTCCCAGGAGATGAGCTCACCAAGCTGGGCGAGGAGGACGAGCAGGGTTGGTGCCGCGGGCGGCTGGACAGCGGGCAGCTGGGCCTCTATCCCGCCAACTATGTGGAGGCCATCTAGCCGCCCCT